ACTGTAGGTCATAAGCTATCTGCTTGCAAAATTTCATGCAAATCCATTCAGTCGTTTCCGCGTTTAATTTAACGAAACTTTTTTAACAGGTGGCAACTCTTAAGTAGAGTAGCCTATTTTCCAATCTAGGTCATAAGCTATCTGTGTGCAAATTTCTATACAAATCCATTTAGTCGTTCCCGCATATGAAATAAATTAAACTTTTTTAACAGGTGGCAACTCTTAAAAAAATAGCCTATAACCGATCCGGCCCATAAGCTATCTGCGTACAAAATTTCATGCAAATCCGTTCAGTCGTTTCCGCGTGATGATTTCCCAAACATCCAAACATACAAACTTTCAACATTTAAAATATTAGTAAGATCTATTGCACACAAGACTAAAAAGTATAAAATAAATAAAGTAAAATACACTTTTTAATATAACACGCTTATAGCATTTTCAGTTTAAATGAAACCATGTTCAAATTAAGCAAAACCTTTTTCAAATTAAAGGAAACCTTTTTCATGTTAAGCGAAACCTTTTTCAAATTTAATGAAACCTTTTTCAGATTCAGTGAAACTTTATTCAAATTAAATGAAACTTCTTTTTTGGATTACTTTGAATTAGCTGTTACGTGTTGATCTCCTTTCCGGTCAAGGCATGTTGAATACAGCGTTGCAGTTTCGGTCCAATTGGACCAAAATTGGTAGTTTCATTTCTTAAAATAAGGCTATGGTAGGTTGGTTGGTTTGTTGTGATTTTCGAGGGGTTTTGGTAACTAGGCAAATCATATAATTTATTAATTTTATAAAACTTCAAATATCTCTGTTTTCGGGAGTACATGTAAAGGATGATGTGAAAAGGAAAAGAGAAATGGGACATGTCAAAATTATTCTTGAACCGAAGTTGAATGTTGCCGTGATTAAACTGTGCTCTAATCCATAGAGTTTGTTTAAGTTAAAAGAGAATAATTAGACAATTGTTATGCAAAGGCCAAATATTACATTTCGCTTAAGCGAGTCAGAGAGAAGGGAGAGTATTTGTACTTTATCTCACAGTTCTCCCTTAAAAAAATAATAGTTGACAGCTTTGAATTCGTGTAGCAACAGTAAAAATATTCTCCCAGTTAAAGATCATAATCGGCGTTTTCGACTCCCTGATATAAGTATGGCGTCGATAACGTCGATAACGATGTGTAACTGGGAGTTAAGGCTCTGTTACGTACGTGTTTTTACGTAGAAATCAAAAACCAACAGACTTCTACGTATGTAATGCTGTGCGTTGGGTAACAGCTTACACGCGAAGCTCATTTAACAGATTCCTTATGTGACACCTCTCAAGCAATGCCAAGTATGCATAACAGAGCCTAGTGTTAGCCAGACATGGTGCAAACGGCACTTAANAAAACGGCACTTAATAGGTTAAGTTGATTTTCTGTTCCTTAATTTAAAAATGTTTAATACTTAATTTGAATAAAGTTTCATTTAATTTGAAAAAAGTTTCATTTGGTTGGAATAAAGTTTCATTGAATCTGAAAAAAGTTTCATTTAATTTGAATAAAGATTCATTGAATCCGAAAAAGGTTTCATTTAATTTGAAAAAGGTTTCGCTTCGTCTGAAAAAGGTCTCAATTAATTTAAAAAAGGTTTCGCTTAACCTGAAAAAGGTTTCATTTAATTTGAAAAAAGTTTCATTTAAACTGAAAATGCTATATATACTTAAATGGACTAAAAATTAGAAAATAATAGTTGTATTCACCAAAATGAGCGAATGGCCTGGCAGTATAGCAAAAGAGCAGATTAGCTCAAGTAACGATTGTTGTGAACAGTTTCCCTGCGACCTCATTTACCGCTTAGGATGTGTAAATTTTTTTCACGGCCTTCGGCCATACGTAATTTGAAATTTCACTTATCATGTGTTAAAATGTGTCAATGCTTAAGCTATTGGAAGATAAGAAGTGCTGCTAAATGTGAAATGTGATGTCTGGAAAACGCGCTTTTGTTGCTTTTTGAAATTGTGAATAGTTAAATTAATTCTTATGTTAATACTTCCGGTAGATGACGCGAAAATTCGTCGAAACGCGTACAAGAAAGAAATTAACTTTGACGAAAAGCATATATGTAATTCTTCTATATGGTTAGTAACATATCTTAACAACGTGCTTTTATTCCGCAATTAAAGGGAGACAGCCTATCAAATAAATGTTTACTTGTGTTAGTATAAATGTATATTTGTGAACTACTAAAAACAAACAACTGTCAAGTCACTCTAGGAGTGGTTTAAATAAAAAATTATAAGTAAATAAACTACCAAACATTGTTCCCTTAAAGTGATTTTTGCAAGCTTTCCCAGCAAAAAATCGGTAATCGCTTTTAGTGGTAACGTGTTCTAGAAGGCATAGCGTTGTAATGCCTTCGAATTTTTTCACTTCTTTTAGGCATTGTAGGTAATGCAAAGTAGAATGTCATACAATATTTTATTTATTTCGCTTCTTTGTTTCATTTTGGGGAATGCAAAGTAGAATGTCCTATAATATTTCTTTCTTAATTCGCTTCTTTGCTTCATTTCAGGGAATGCAAAGTAGAATGTCCTACAACATTTTATTTTTTTTCGCTTCTTTGCTTCATTTAAGGGCATGCAAAGTAGAATGACCTACAATATTTTTTTTTATTTCGCTTCTTTGCTTCATTTCAGGGAATGCAAAGTAGAATGCTACATCGTAGCCAGCTGAAAAATAGAATGAATATCCAAAAAATCTTTTTCTACCGTCTCGCATAAAAATCATGTTTTGCTTTGTTCAATTTGCAGCGAAGTTGAAGTCAGTCAATGAAGTGAAGTACATGGGTCAGGAGGTACAATTTTAAGCTTAATTAAATATGCATGTATGTACATACCGATTTTTAAGTAAAATCTAAATACCCAAATACATACATACGTATGTATAAAAACTGATTTATACAAATTTTTATTAATTTTAATCTTTTAACACATTTTCTGATTTAATATATGTAAATAAGTATGTACTCATCTGGGCATTCTACATTAGTTTCTCTGTAAGGCATTCTTTGTTCACATCTCTGGATTCTGTTTATCCATGCGTTCTCCCTTCGTTTGAAGGTAATGCTGCGGGTAAGGGCTTACCGCCAATGACATGCCCATGTTAAAATAAAGCCTTCCTGAAGCGAAAGGGTAAGCGATTCCCATCGCCTAGCTCGTTTCCACTTCGTTTTCGTATGATTTATTTAACTCTAAAGTCGTACGAATGTCGCGTCCGTAACCCAGGAAATACCCATATGTATATGCCGAAAAGCTCCAAGTACAAACCCGCAAATAAATTTACACTATTATCCCAAGAAAAAGGAATCTGTCAAAGGAAATGTTCTACATTTCAATTTTAAATGCCATGCTAATATGTATTTACATTAATATTAGTGGTATTCATCTAAACCGATAACTTTATCAATTAGGTATTCTTATAAATTTAAGAGCTCTGTTACTTGAACGCCCCATACTCTCTTTTCGTTTACGCTTGCGACAGAGTTTCCTTGGCTTCAGTTTATCAAGATTATTCAGTGAAATCGTTGGAGAAATTTATCAGAAATGTGTAAACGAGTTTCCCTAAAAATTTTGACAGTCGATTTAGTATTACACAATTACAAAAAAACCAATTTTAAACTAAATTAAGTAATTGGTATTTCCAGCTTTGCTTTAAAATACTAAACGAAGACTTTTANCTAAAAATTTTGACAGTCGATTTAGTATTACACAATTACAAAAAAACCAATTTTAAACTAAATTTAGTAATTGGTATTTCCAGCTTTGCTTTAAAATACTAAACGAAGACTTTTAGCCACACATCGAAGCAAATTTTCTAACACTTCCGATTAAATATTGAACAATTGGAGCCCCATCTCTAAGAAAAATTACTCCAAGTGTGTGTGGCTGCTTTTTAGTATTTTGTAGCGTAAAATTTACCACAGATGCTCACCCTGATTTGATCTGAAGAAAAGATGCAAGACTTAGTACGAGGTTCAAAACCCAAAATTTTGATACATGTTGAGCTCCTTATAAGAAAGAAAAGTTGCAAAGAGCCCAGAAATTTCATAAAAGGAGTTGATTGGAAGCTTGCATTTGGATGCTTCTGCCAGGACAGTGCTGAGAAAATTAAGATGATTTAGTTTGAGAAACTATGTCGCAAAAAAATTACCGCTGATTTACATCAAGAACAAAATGAAGAAACTAATAAGAAAACTGACTGGGACAAAGTAAGTTGGTGTGGTGTGAGCCTTCTGATCGCTTGAAAACACTACACTGAAAACGTACAAGCAGCGGTAAAACATGGAGATGAGTTTCCCATAGATTGGGGCTGTTTCTGAGAATTTGTTGTAGGTAATTTGCCAAAAATCGAAGGACAAATGACGGAGGCTGTTTATGTCGACGTTCGGAGCAAAAATTGGAAGCGAGCGCGGAAAAATTCGTTTGGGGTCGCTTGTCTTCCAACAAGACAACGACTCTAAACAAAAAGTTGAACTGGATAACTCAATCGCTAGATTAAAGTCCGGTTGATCATTGGTGGTAAAATTTGAACTCCAAATGCGCCAGTATTCCATCGAAAATGTTAGTAAAATTAGTTGGTGGGAATACCAACTACTATTTTTAGTTTTGAATAAAAATTTCAGTTTTGCGAATTTATACTTTTATCTTACGCTTATGTTTTGGAATCTTTATCTATATATTGAAAACCAAAAATTTTTCACATGATTTCTAGAAAATAGATATACTCTTGGTTTTTTTTTGTTATTCAGACACCTAAAGAAATACAAGAGTATCGTATCAATCAATAATTATTTATTTTAATAAATCTACACTGAAATAACTACTGTGAAATGTATGCTTTCATTTGATGCTTAGTGTATATCCACTATCAGAGCATGTAAGCGGACTTTCATAAAAGATCTACCCGCTTATATGCACCGAAACTTGTTCATCTTGTCGGTGTTTATGTCCAATAAATCTGCACTTATTTCGGTTAAGTTATGTACTTACCCCTTTTGATGTGAGGTAATCCATGCCTTTAGCAACTTGGTACATAAATGATGTCAAATCACTCGACGTCAAAGTATTAGATTTTCCATGAGTATTGCCGTAATGCCTTTAAAAATACCAAATACAAACACTAAATTATATTCTTAGTATACTGAAAATAACATCTGCGTAACTATAACGAAAACTTGCGTACATCTTACGAAATTTTTCGTAATTTTGAGTCACGAAAGTTTTCGTTGATTGTACAAAACCGTTTTCGTACATACTACGAAAATATGAGACATCAGGTCTTTAGTACATTTTATGAATGTATTCGTGCTATTTAATAACGAATTTAATACTATTTACTAAAGAATTTCGTGCTATTTCTTAATTTTTTACGAAATTTTTGTAAAATGCACAGAAATAATTCGTAAATATATTTAACGAAATTATTTTCGTAAAATCTGCGGTTGTTTCGTAGAATACAACACACTTTAAAAATATATTACGAATTTAACACAACACTTTTATTTTGTTTTTATCGTTAATTTTAATCGTTTTTGTTTAACAAAATGTTTTGCAAAAAGGCTTAACATTAACGATTAAAATATAATGAAAGTGTTGTGCTATAATTTGAGTCCTGTTTTTTTATGGTGTTAATAACACAGGCCGACAAAATTTAACCAACATTCAGACCCAGAAACCAGACTATACATTTCCGAAGGTTTATGATGCGCTGAATCCAAATCTGGCCTCAGAATTGCTCTATCAGCCGTTTTTGCCCATATTTGAGGTTATGTAGCCTTGCAGATGTTTTCTTTCACCAAAATAATAGGCTGGCATCTTTAAGTAAAAGTCTTTTTCTTTCAAATGGCGTTTTGTTTGCTCAAATATTTTTTTTTCGCTGAGATATCGCATTTTGAAATTTTAATGTTTCTAAATTTTCCTACACCTGAAAATCGATTGAGATAACATAGAAATGATATAGTCGATTACTAATTTTCTCGAATTGAGTCTTATTTTTCTTAAAATTTTGTCTCACACCATAAATGTGCTAACTCACCAACCCCCTACACTATCTAACCCACGGGTACCGAGTCACACACAGCCCTAACCCCTAGAAACCTCCCCTACCATACCGCAAGAGGTCAATTTAGATAGACTTCGAAAAGATGAAGAGCTGATCAGTCAAAAAAGATTTTACAACAATCATAACATGTAACCAAAAAATGAATCGACTGTATCATGTTCAGGTGCAAGAAGATTTAGAAACATGAAAATTTTAAAACGCGATATCTCAGCGAAAAATTCTGCAATTCTGAGGGCAGATTCGGATTCGTCGCATCAAAATCCTTCGAAAATATATAGTCCGGTTTCTGGGTCTGAGATGCTGTCGGCCTGTGTAATAAATGCAATCATACATTCTACGAAAGAAGTTCAGAAATTACAAGTATAACTGTTGTAAATAATAAGTTTTACTTAAATTTTCTGACTACATTGTAGTCTAAAATTAATAAAAAAGGTTATTTTACCTGTAATAAAACTTAAGTCTTGTATTTATATGCATACGAATAGGTTCTATACTACATATTTTTTACTGCTTAGGCCTCATTCAAAAAAAGAAAAGTGTTAAATTATGAGACTCAAAAAAAAAATAAAATAAATATAATAAGATATAAAATATGAAAGAATATGTTAAAAACATTGTATGCTTAAAAGCATAGTATATCCACAGCTTTAATATTTAATTTTGTATTGTATTTTTCTCCAGCAAATCCCTTTTTAAAAAGTTTAAAATTATATTATACATCTCACAGCAGCCAACAAGTAATTCTGCAATGACACTAGATACATAAAAATATGATGAAATATTAAACTGCCGGTAATTTAGTATATTGTAGAAAAATATGCGTATGTTGTACGAATTTAAGAAACATATTTCTGCATTAGTATTTAGTACAAAGTATTAACTAAATTGTAAGAATACAGAATTGTAGATTTCGTAAATTTTAAAACCATACGTAAATATTATTAGATTTTCGTAATATGAAAAATTGGTTGAATTTGGCGGACTGTCACGCCCACTACACTACGGGCGGACTTGGTAAATTTTATTCGATTTCAGTCAAATTCTATTTGTAACTTAAATTAACCTGGGAAGCCATACATCTGAATGATGAGAAAAAATTGGCAAACTGCCGCGCCCACCAGCTATTCAAGGCAAGGACTAGTAACGATCCTCCAAAATAGAAAAATATGGGTGCAAGATCTATTTTTACCTTCCTTTTATTAGCTCGGGATGTAACTATGTAATATTGATGCGCCTAAAAGATGCAGCGGTTTCTATTCTCAAGTTACATACCTGTAGTGCGATTCGCTATCTTTTAACGATTCGACAATCGCAATGTTTGTCTAGATTTTTTGTAGTTTGCAGTAACGATTGTTTGATTCACTAATATATCCTTAACGACACTAAACAGCTGACTTTTAGTATTTATGCATATTGATAACAAGTGGCATCTCTGACAAACGAAATGTCAGAATATGCGAAAAGGACAAAGAGGAAGGCAAAAAAACTAATAAATTTGTTCTCGCCAACCGTGTTAAGGATTGATGCAAAGATAAAAAGAGGTATTTAATGAAATGTTTTAATTATTTGCATCTACCAGTCAAGCTGCAGCTGCAAAAAGGAGCCGTGCCTCAGCGGAACCATTATGTTCGTTGCTGGACTTCCTCACGGAATACCCGGGGCTAACTACCGGGAAGTTTCAAAAGTTAGCAAAGCTAAGCTAAATTCGATTGGAGGCGCAGCGAAATCTGTGGACCAATGGCACACGGTAAGTACCAATATTGCAGTAGCAGCCACTGTGGCAATGATAGGAATAGTGGAACGGTACGGTTTAGTTATTTGCCCAATGATTTCGGGTTATTGTGTCCGAATTGACTACACGCAGTTGTAGTCAAAGGTCGACACTTTATTTTAAAACCCAATTTTGTAATTTTCGTTCACTCATGTATTAAAAATTTCGGTCTGAGATATGCACTTTTTTACAAATTGGACAAAAATACTGTTTACCAAGTTTCCATTTCCGGTATCGAAATGCTAATTTTAGAGCATTTTCAATGGGTTCCCCAGGGGCCTGTGGAAGATTCCGAGGGGTCACGTGTGACTTTTTACAAAGTGTGAACTGTGTTGTTTCTAGTGGGTGGGATATCATGAACCACGCCCCCTCCTCTCCACCCACTAATCCAAAAACAATGGGCAAATAACTGAGAGTGTAAAATTAATTGTTAAATTTTGCATTATTTATTTAATTTAATGTTGCAAAAAGGTCTGGCGGGACTTGAAAAGCCAGATAAGTGTGAAGGCTCGTGACGGGAAAAGACAGCAGGCGTTGACCGGTAACAGGCCCCTTGACCAAGCGCCTATAACGGAGCTTGAAAGGCGTGTGATTGGTCTAATTGGCAGCAGCTACGTTGAATATACCGACTGAGGAGGTAATCTTCAATTAAATTAATTAATTCAAGGGCATTGCAAAAATTGTTTTCAATAATAGGAATTTCAATTGGCTCTGGAGGATGGGGACGAAGGCGTGTTTAAATTGTTAATTGATGAAGACAATGAAGCACGCTGCGAAACCCCAAAAACATCAACGCCAAAAACCCCACGCAGGTCTTTCAAAAAGAAGCGGGTGGAAGAGGACATCGACTTGCGGATGAAAGTGTTGGAGATAGCAGAAAAGCAGGCAGATGGTCTAAAGGTATATTCAAACGTGGCATAAACGAATATATATATGTAAATGAATAAATAATTTGTTTTGTTTTCCAACAGATGCTAGCCGAATACAGTTCGGCNTTGCGGATGAAAGTGTTAGAGATAGCAGAAAAGCAGGCAGATGGTCTAAAGGTATATTCAAACGTGGCATAAACGAATATATATATGTAAATGAATAAATAATTTGTTTTGTTTTCCAACAGATGCTAGCCGAATACAGTTCGGCGAATACAAGGCTAGCGAACTCAATGACGGAGGCCACGAATGCACTGTCGGGCGCTATTTTGACCTTGGGCGAAGGTTTTAAAGCCACCGCCGAAGCTTTCAATAATCTAGCCAACTCCATAAATAAAATATAAATACGTATGTACATAAAGTGGTGGGAAAAATAATTGAAACCAAAAACGTTGAGAAGTTTTGGTTATTTTCCTTTTGTTTATTTAATCTTTTATAATTTTTTATAAAAAGTTAAACTCACTAAATAACAACTAGCATATATGTAAATCAAAACTTCAAACTTTGTACAGATTTCAAAAAAAATCCAAGTTTTAAAAGCTTAGTATACAGCTTTTTAACCTTGTAATAAGAGTTTTCTGAAAAATTCTGAGTACAGAGTTTTGAATCTCATTTAATTTTAGCATAACAATGTGCAAGTTTCAAGTGGCTAACATTTTTCAGAAAACTCTTATTACAAAGTTAAAAAGCTGTATACAAAGTTTTTAAAACTTGGATTTTTTTTGAATTCTGAATTGAGTGCCTCAGAGGTGGTCCCATACTAATGTGGTTTAGATCCGATCATTGGATCATGAAATATATGTATATGGCTGATTCCATCTCAAATCACCCAGGCCGGGGGAAAGTGAATTTAAGTTTGCGATAAAACTCACAGGGATTGTTCCTTGAACAATTTAAGAGACACATATTTTTTCTTTTTGCTCAGAAATGCGAATTTATCGAATAATGAATTTTTTTTCTTTTTGAGTACGAACGCTTCTTTTTTCCTCTCTTAATAGCAACTTTTGATGAAATCGTTTATAACTGCCGCAAAAAAGCAAGGATTTTAACGATTTTTTTTTTAATTGCAGATATTGATCTACTGAATCGATCTAGTGAACTAAACATCAGTAATTGTTTATTAATAATTAATTATTGTTTATAAACAAAAACAATTTTTTTTTTCAAATTGATTTTTTTCAAATTGCCACATCTTTTTTTCTCTCAAACTTTTTTGTCTATTAGGGAATAGTATAAACTATTTTCAGTACGAGTAGCAATATGCTAAAATTCGTCGTTTTCGAGTTATGATTTTTTTCTGAAAATGTCCTTTTATGATGCAAGCAGATTTTCGT